CCATCTGAGGGAAAACTCTATAGTTTTCCCTCGGATGGTCGTGGCCCTGCCCCCAGCGTGCCCGGCGTCGTCACGTCACTTCTGGGTGATGTGCATGCGGCGCGCGCGCACAAAGCGCGCACTCCCAGAACAAGCCGGGAGTCCCCCGATCGGGATACAGGTAACACTTGGCAACCCTACACCTCACTGGAGCAAAAGATACTTTAGAAGAAGCCAGGAGGCAAAAGCTTTGAGTCTGCAGGAAGCACCCATTGGGAAGTAGTTTCTCCCAAAACAGGAAGGTGCTTGGCTTTCAATATCCCTCCATTTTAGGATTGGCCCTTGTACACCACGGCAGCCATTTTGTGACTGACCTTGGCCACCCTGAAACAAAGGTGAAGAAACAAATCAGTGCAGAGGGAAATAGAATCTTTTATATTTATACAGATTTTATACAAATTTTAAATTTATACAAATTTATACAGATTTTAAAGATTCTATTTCCCTCTGCACCAATTTGTTTCTTCACCTTCATTTTGCCTCATTGTGGCCCCCTTTTTTCTGCACTTGGCCACCATGGCTGCCATTTTGTGCTGGCAGCCGAAAACTCCAGAAGTGTCTACAATAGGGTTGCCAGGTCCTTATGTGCTGCTGGTGGGGGAATTTGGGGGGGGCATTCTGTGGGTGAGCTGGGACATAGTTGATGCAATGATGTCACTTCTGGAAGTGATGTCATTGTGTCAGTGATGTTGGGTCAACACTCTACTTTTGGGGCAAAACTCTACGGTAAAAATGGCTACAAACCATGGAGTTTTGCCCAAGAACTAGAATGTCGCCCCAACATGATGATATCACTTCCAGAAGTGACATCATCATGTCGATGACATCATCAAGGGATGCCTTGTTTGGGGTGTGGTTTCCCTGAAGGCCAGCTGGCTGGCAGCGGGCTTGAGCCCAAAAAACCAGAAGATCCACATGGGGGCTGGCAAACCTAGTCCACAAATTTAATCAGATTGGGGACACCAGATCCTAGTCACCATTAACCATGTGATAGACAGGACCTATGCTGGACTTAAAACATGTAGGGGGCAAAGCTTTTAGGCATTTCTTTGCCACACCAGAGTTCTGTATAGGGCAGAATCTTGCCCCTTCAGCTCACTTCCTTCTTCCTGCATGGTCAAAACGGAACTCCCCTTTCCTCGTGTTTTCCCTCCTGTGCCTTGTCCTTCAGGTTTAACAGCCAAGGACAGTGTCCGCATCTTATCTTAATTTATGTACAGCAACCAGCTTCTCGTGCTGTGTTTTCCATCTTATCTGCACTAAAGGGAGATACTTTTTTAAATAGCCACTTTTCCAGTCTGCGATAACACTAGTGGTCCATCTTAAAGGGCGATCATGACTACAACAAGTTTAAGTCATAAGAACATAAGAGAAAGCAATGTTGGATCAGACCAATGGCCCATCTAGTCCAACACTCTGTGCCACACAGTGGCCAAAAATACCAGGTGCCATCAGGAGGTCCATCAGTGGGGCCAGGACACTAGAAGCCCTCCCACCGTTGCCCCCCCCCAAGCACCAAGAAGACAGAGCATCACTTGCCCCAGACCAAGAGTTCCTATCTATGCCTTCTGGCTAATAGCCACTGATGGACCTCTGCTCCATTTGTTTATCCAGTTCCCTCTTGAAGCTGTCCATGCTTGTAGCCGCCGCCACCTCCTGTGGCAGTGAATTCCATGTGTTAATCACTCTTTGGGTGAAGAAGTACTTCCTTTTATCTGTTCTAACCCGACCGAGTCGAGCCAGAGCTCCCCTGGGTTCTTCATTCGTGGTCTTCATTGTCAAGACTCAGTTGTGGAATACGTGTTGTACTGTGGCAGTGCCTCTGAAGCATGTACAGAGGGCCCTTTCTTGTCCTCCACCCCTCAAGACTTCCTTTCCACAGGACAGAGACACGTGATCCCTGACAGGTGTCCTGTTAAGGGGGTACCAATGCCACATAGTGGTCCAAATTAGAAACTTTCTACTTCTGGGACTATACTTGTTGAAAGTCTTCATGGGGTCAATGAGGACATTGTAATGTGTGGACTAGGAGCTGCGGTGGCTCAAGTGGTTAAGACGCTGAACTGCAGGCTGTGGAAGGTCAGTAGTTCAGCAGTTCGAGACCCAAGTGCCGCATGATGGGGTGAGCTCCCGTCTCTAGTTCCAGCTCCTGCCAACCTAGCAGTTCGAAAGCAAGAAATTGCAAGTAGATAAATAGGTACCACTTCGGTGGGAAGGTAACAGCGTTCCGTGCGCCTTGGTGTTTAGTCATGCCGGCCACATGACCATGGAAACGTCTTCGGACAGCGCTGGCTCTTCGGCTTTGAAACGGAGCTGAGCACCGCAACCCTAGAGTCGGACTCGACTGGCTTTCGAGCAAGGGAACCTTTACCTTTACCTTTAATGTGTGGACTGACCCTCCGCCTAGAGCTGCCAACTTCCAGGTGGCACCTGGCGATCTCCTGCCATTACAATTAATTTCCAGGCAACCAAGATCAGTTCTCCTGGAGAAAAGGACTGCTTTGGAGGGTGGGCTCTGTGGCATGATGCCCTGCTGAAGTCCTTCCTCTCCCTAAACCCTGCCCTGCCCAGGGTCTACCCACAGCTGGAAACCCTATCTCAGGCTAAGCTACCTTGCAGGGTTGTCGTGATGACAAAATGGGGCAAGGAAAACCCTGAGCTCCTCGGATGAAGAGCGGGGAATCAAATTTGTGTCAGATATGAACAAAAATAACCATTGTAGTAGGGCTGTAACTTTTGGAGCGACCTCCTTCAAACATACTTTCTTCAAAACTAGTTTAGGGAGCAAACATGGCTTATTCTCAGTTTTGAAGATATGAAAATATTCACAGATGACTGCAGACAATTTTAAAACTGCCAGAATCTATCCTTGACTGCAGTCAGTCTGATTTTGGTGCTTGGTCAAGTTCCCCACTGGGTCAGGAAACAGCATATTATTATTTCACTATCCTTGGGTCATGGCTGATGCTGACAAGCCATTTATGAAGCAGTGACGATGTTAGATTGGCATTAAATGGGTGGCTCTATGCTAAGCTGTGGTGGCTTAGAGGTTAAGACGCTGCAGACTGGAAGGTCAGTAGTTCGGCAGTTCGAGTGCCACATGACGGCGTGAGCTCCCGTCTCTGGCCCCAGCTCCTGCCAACCTAGCAGTTCGAAAGCAAGAAATTGCAAGTAGATAAATAGGTGCGAAGGTAACAGCGTTCTGTGCCTCTCGGCGTTTAGTCATGCTGGCCACATGACCACGGAGAAGTCTTTGGACAGTGCTGGCTCTTTGGCTTGGAAACAGAGATGAGCACCGTTCCCTAGAGTCAGATTTGACTAGCTTTTGAGCAAGGGAAACCTTTACCTTTAACCTTTATTCTATACCTTAGGATGGCTCAAACTAAAAACGGCTGTGTCAGGCAGCTATTTTGCATCAAGCCTAGGCCAAAAATGCCATTGAGAGAGGTCTTTCACATTTCCACCCAGTGTCATGCTGGCAAACGAAAAATCTCACCGTCAGTTGCTTGGTAGCCACGCCACTCTCCAGAGCTGCTTTGTTCATGGCCCGTAGCGTCTCGAAATCTGGCGCTTCGATGAACACCACGTAGGGAACGAACTCAGCAGTCCTCAAAACCTTCACAGCCTGACCAAGCATTCAAGACAGGAAGAGGGAAGAATAAGAGACCGTCATCGGTATGGCACCATGCCAGCAATCTGCTGGGAGCTGCATGCAACCTGGGGCGCATTCACAGTGGCAATTCTCTGGTCTAGCACTGAATGTGTTTCCACCACTTCATGCTTTCAGTTTTCACTCGCCTGGCACTAATTATTGGTGCAAGACTAAATGGTAGTTCACCACTTTACAGGCCCATTGCCAGGAATTTTTAAGTTGGGGTCATTTTAATTTCTCAGAGGGGCTAATTTAATTAATATTAATTTAATCAAAGGGCTACCGTAGCACACAACCCATTGGCATCGCTGAGTGAAGAACAATTGTGAACCGCCAGGGCACAGAACACTCCTAAAAATGTAAGGAAATTGGGATGGCAGCCCCCTCAATGGCAGACTGTCAGCTTAAGAGTTCATTCATTCTGACTGATTTCCCACAAGCTGCTACTCTGCTCTCGCTCTTCCCTTCCCCCGACTGTATTCATCAGTTTCCCACTACTTGCTGCGCGGCCACATTTTGACCCACAGCATCCCCCAATTTCCCCTGCATTTTCTCTATCTCAAAAAAACAAGGATTGAAAAGACGTGGGGGAAATCGGGGGATGCTGCGGGTCAAAATGCGGCCGTGCAGCAAGTAGTGGGAAATTGATGAATACAATCGGGGGGAAAGGAAAGAGCGAGGGTGGCGCAGCGGCTTGGGGGAAATCAGTCTCTGTCTGGGGACATAACCTGCCAAGCCACGAAAGTTCGGCTAGCACAGGTCTGCTGCATGCAACACATCCCAGACCCAACTTCACTTGCCACCACCTAGGTGAATCTAGGTTACTAACAAGACAGGGTAGTACACTGTGTCCCTTTAGCCTCCTGTGGGGCATGGATATTTATACAGGCAGCTGCCAAACAAAAAAAGAGTGGATGTTTTTTTATGGCCGCAATACATAACCCAGTGTGATTTCTGAATGGCAGGCTCGACAGAGCAGTCACTGAAGCAGAAGACGGAGGGGCTGGGCTGGCTGTTCAAATCACTTCCTGGAACAAGCACAACTTTCCCTCCCAGCGTGGGTGGGGGAGAAAGAGCAGAGGGCCCACAGCGGCAGGAGCACTCTGGGCTGTCCATGGGGAGTGGCAGCTGGTCCGAGCCCTGGCTGTGGCAGAGCGTCCCAGGGGAGGTGCACTTGCTTTGGCTTCCCGGGCTCCCTCTGCGTGCCCCCTGCCTGCCGAGCACCTTGGGGGAGGGGAGAGCAGGCAGTGGGCAGCCTCCGGGCAGTACAGGAGGCCAGGCCCTGCGGGGCCCCACCATAGCTATGGGCCTGACGCTTGACCCCCAGAGAATGCAAAAAGTTGGAGGGAGGAAAATGGAAGGGGGGTAGGCTGCTGCTTTCATCATCATCATCATCATCATCATCATCATCACCATCACCATCACCATCACCATCACCATCACCATCATCACCATCATCATTTCTGTGGCCTAGTGTGGAAACTTGGAACAAATTGCTATTATTATTTTTACTCTTGTAATAAAACATCTTCTCTCTCAGTGAAATGACATAAGTAGCCACACTGGATCAGACCAATGGTCCGTGTAGTCCAGCATCCCGTTTCCAACGGTGGCCAGTCAAATGTCACAAGGAATCCCATGAGCGGGGATCGTTAGTAGGGTTTCCAACCTCCAGGGGGTGGCTGGAGCCCTCCTGGGATTACAACTAATCTCCAGGTAATAGAGATCAATTCCCATGGAGAGAATGGCTGCTTTGGAAGACGGACTCTATGGCATTATACCCCACTGAAGTCCCTCCCTTCCTCAAACCCCGCCATCCTCAGGCTCCAAACCCTGAATCTCCAGGTATTTCCCAACCCAGAACTGCCAACCCTTCCTGTTAGCAACAGCCCTCGCTGGCTGACTGCTCCCCAGCACCTGTCAATCAGAGGCATTCTACTTCTTTACACGCGAATGATAAAAATGGGTAATTCGCCGCATGAGGATGTAGTGATGGCTGCAGGCATAAACAGCTTTAAAAGTGGATTAGACAGGGCTATTTTTGGGCAGGAACGCACAGGAACGGAGTTCCGGCTGGCTCCTGAGTTGGCCACGCCCAGCAGGAGCTCATTAGCATAACAGGCCACACCCAACAGCAGAAACTCATTGGAATTGCCTACATCAGGGGTGTGTGGCCTAACATGCCAAGGAGTTCCTGCTACAAAAAAGGCCCTGGGTTTTGACAACAAACAAGGTAAACAGAATAAGAAGCAAAAGGTGGGTGTGGCTGGATGACCACACTTCTGGTAACATGGGGATGTGGCCTAATATGCTAATGAGTTCCTGCTGGGCTTTTTCTACAAAAAAGCCCTGGGATTAGATAAGATTCATGGAGGATAGGTCTATCAGTGGCTACTAGCCATGGTGACTAAAGGGAACCTCCATGTTCAGAGGAAGTCAACCTCTGAATCTAAGAGCCAGGAGGCAACATCAGTGGAAGGTCTCAGCCTCTATGCCCTGTTGTTGGCCCTCCAGAGAAACTGGTTGGCCACTGGCTGAGACAGGAGGCTGGACTAGATGGACAAATGGTCTGACCCAGGAGGGCTCTTCTGATGTTCTTATGAACCTAGAGGTCCCCCTTTGGCTATCTGGGCTAACAGCCAGAGATAGGCCCATCCGCCACAAGTGTGTCTGGATCCCCCTTCAAATCCACCTAAGCCCGTAGGCCATTGCACTCTAGGCACTGATAGCAATTGCATGGTAAATTATGCCAATTTCACATGGTAGGATGATTAATTTCTGAGTCTCTCTCTGTGCATTTATTCAATTTAGATTCCATCTACCATCCATGGAACTCAGTGCAGTCCCCAGCGATATCCCATCCACGTGCTCACCAAACTCAGACCCGCCTAGCTTCAGGAAGGTTGCTGCATCATGTGTCTTCAGACCATATCCTGGTGGATCAGTCCAGCCCCTCCTGCTCTCATGTGTGTCCATTCAAAGATTCCCACAGTGCATTACTGAGCACTCTCTTTCTTGCTGGGTTGTAGATGTTGTACGGGTACCAATATGACTGGGCAACTACAGTATCTACTCAGATTTAAGACTAGTTTCCTGTCCCCAAGGCATACCATAAAACAAAGGGTTTTTTCTCTCTTAAATTTGCACAGAAGTTACTACAATTATGCCCAATAACAACAACAACAACAACAAAAATTTTAAAACTCTGTGTATAATATTTTTTGAGAAGGGGTGGTCTTACATTCAAAGTCCTCTTCCTTTCAAGTAAACACAGTAGTTATAATTCCAGATATAGAAATAATAATGGTGATGAAGTCCAAATAGATCATACTGACTTAGTTGCACAGCAAGGACAGATTCTCCTGGTGCATGAGATCACAGGAACCTTCTCCATGACCTTCCCCTCCATCCCAAACTTTCAAACAGGGCAAAAAGCGTGACTTACTTGTGGGTTGACATCCAGAATGCACATCTTGCCTGACTCAATGACTTCATGGATGGAGTCAATCTTGGTCCCATAGAGGTTCCCCTCGTACTCGCCATGTTCCAGGTAGCGACCTCCTTTGATGTCCACCTCCATCTCATTCCTAGTCACGAAGCAATACACCTGCCCCGTCTGCTCGTGCTCCTTGGGCCTTCGGGAAGTGTCTGCAAGGAAGCCTGCGCATTAAGCAGCACGAATCTGAAGGTGATCTTTTGCAAAGGCTTCTTAAAAAAAGTGTGACTTACTTGTGGGTTGACATCCAAAATGCACATCTTGCCTGACTCGATGACTTCATGGATGGAGTCAATCTTGGTCCCATAGAGGTTCCCCTCGTACTCGCCATGTTCCAGGTAGCGACCTCCTTTGATGTCCACCTCCATCTCATTCCTAGTCACGAAGCAATACACCTGCCCCGTCTGCTCGTGCTCCTTGGGCCTTCGGGAAGTGTCTGCAAGGAAGCCTGCGCATTAAGCAGCACGAATCTGAAGGTGATCTTTTGCAAAGGCTTCTTTGAAGCACATCTCCCAAAAACAGGGAAGCAGGTTGAAATACTACAAAGATAAATTACATGGCCAAAGACCATAAACCTGTCGGTGATGCATTTCTGGGCTAGGCCTGACTCCCCCACCCTGTTAAAAGGGAGCCAAGACTTACATGGGATGGTGGTTCCGTACTGAGATGGGTCAGACATGATCAGCTTGTTCTTCAGACTGCGTCGGCCGACCCCCTGGGCACCGATGAGCACCAAAGTTTTCCTGCGGAAGGGAGGCATGCGTGCCACCTCTTCGTAGATCAAGAGCTCATGGCGGTCAAACTCTGCAGTAGAAGGGACAGAAATCACATGTTCACCATAAGGCAGAGAAGCCATGGAGTCCTTCTTAGTAGGGCTTTCATGCTAGCACGGTTCGACGTCCTTCCCTCAGCTGTTCTATCGGGAAGGTTCAACAAAATTCCCTATAAAGATAGCTTGTGCCCCTGTGGGATGGGAGAAATCGAATCCATTGGACATGTGCTATTGTACTGTAAATTCCACTGTGACATCCGTGTTGTTTATATTGAACCTGTGTTGGACCCCCTTTTGGGCCAATCTGATGAGCATAAAATTAGTTCTTTATTGTCTTCGCATAATATAGAAATTGTTCACCGTAAGGCAGAGAAGCCACGGCCATGGAGTCCTTGACTTAGAAGGACCCTGGGAAGCCATCTAAGTCCTGCCCCCGGAGTCCTTCTTAGAAGGAGCCTGGGAAGCCATCTAAGTCCTGCCCCCGGGTCCATGCAGAAATTGGTAGCTGTCCAGATTCTGCTTGACAGCTTCCAGAGAGCCCACTGACTCCCAGTGTTTCACTGCTGAATTGTTGTTACCATCAGGAATGTATCTCCTAATGTTGAACTGAACTCTACCCTCCTGTGACATAAGCCCATTGGATCTAGTCTGTGCCCTGTGGAACAGCAGAAAACAAGTCCTTGCCCTCTTCCTAGATCCCCCACTGGTGGACCTCCTGAGGGCACCTAGTATTTTTGGCCGCTGTGTGACAGAGTGTTGGACTGGATGGGCCACTGGCCTGATCCAACATTGGCTTCTCTTATGTTCTTATGTTTCATGGAACATCCCTTTGGGTATGTGAAGAGCATGATCACATCACCTCTTAAGTCTTCCCTTCTCTAGGCTAAACACACCCATTTCCCCAAATGTTTCCTTCTGGGACTCATTAGACAGGATCCAGCCAAAGAATGGGATCCAACCAGCTTTTCTTCTGGTGAAAAAGGGAGGAGATGGTCCCCTTTGACCATCCCCCCTCCAAAAAAAAAAAGGCTGTGATGGAGATCATGGGACCACCATGGACAAAAGCCATGTGCGAGGGTGCTAGATCCAACCCCAAACATGCCTGCCCTGGCAGAACCTCCCATGTCTTCATTAAAGTCTAAGCTAATTTTTAATTTACCATTTACTTTCAAAAATAAAAATGTGTAATAGTCTTCTCTATTCGATTTTAGAGTGTACTTTCAAAAATCGTTTTGGAAAAATCCCACCCATGCATTTTTAAGGAAACACAGCACCAGTTTGCCAAACTGAGGATTTTCTTCCCTTACCTCCTAAATCTGAAAGCACTGATGACTGGGGATATAGACAAAAAAATAGCAGAATATGAATTTCGGCAGGCAAATGTGTATTTGGAGAAATGGGAATAATTTCAGCTTTATGAGTATGGGGCATTATTCTTTCAAACGAGTCTCCACAGAGCCATGTGTGTCATCTGAAAGAATGATTTTTATAAAAAATGACTCATCCTGAAACCATAGCTAAGCATAAATCCAGCCACATGGGGGTGCATGAGAGATTCCAGAGGTAGAGAGAAGCAGATAAAGAACAGATTTTTGCTTTTAAATGTAAACACTGTCAGTTCTGTTCATGTGGATCGCTTAGCAGAGGGTGAAGCCTCTGTTGACAACACACTAAGGTGTACAGTGCTGATCACCTACTAGGTCAAGGGTTCCCATCCCCAAAGAATTCTGGGAACTGTAGTTTGGCACAGGTGTTAAGAATTTGTTTTAAAGATCTCTACTTCCCCTAAACCACAGGCTTTCCCAGGAAGTAGCAATGGCTGGATCTATTCACATGTTACAGTGCATACATGTACATCTCGCATACTTTCATTTTTTACTTGAGACCAGGGACCAGAACCTGTATAAATCTGGTGTTTAAATCACATATTCATTTGTACATGCACTGAACGCAACATAAGAATGACTGAGCTCACATCATGAGAAAAACCAGGTTTTACGATGCACGTGGATGTTTGCAATAACATGTGGACACAGCTCCTAACAAACCACTATACCCACAGTGCATACAGAAAGGTAGGGAAACAGAAAAATTGTTTTTGCAGACTGGGGTGAAAGGTGAGTTCAAAAAGGCTGATGGTAACTTGTTCTGCAAAGAAGGTGAGGACTAAACTTCAAAAAGGCTGAAGGTAACTTGTTCTGCAAAGAAGGTGAGGACTTTGAAAGGCCTTCCAGTTCTTGGCACTGGGACCAGTATTTTGTTACTGGTCTCAATAACACTTCTAAAAGAAAGGGATGACATAGGAACTAAGAAATGGCACAATCTGGTGCAAAGCTCATTTCTAAAGAGTGCTTGTAGGTCGAACATCATCGAGGGCCATGGATGGCTCCACTAATGGTACATAGGAAGGGTATGCCGGGTTTCCTGCTCTGAGGGGAAACCTCCCAGCCCAACAACCTCTGTTCCCTGCTGCCATTCAATAGGGCAGTGGGGGCAAAATCAGGGGGGAGGGCTTGGTCTAACACCACAACATCACTCCTGGCATGAACCTGGAAGTGTCATCATCAGGTTAGGGTGACACTCTAGGATTTCACTGAATCTGGAACCATAGAGTTTTCCAGGAGCCCTAGAGCATTGCCCTGATGTAAAGGTGTTGCTTCTGGGTTCACGCTGGAAGTGACATCACGGCATGTACATGTCTCTGCCCCCCTACCAAATTCCTACTGGTTGCTAGCACTGGGCTGGAAACCCTATCCATAGGAAGCACAGAGGAAGCAGGTATCAGCTCAGACAGAGGCCAGAACGTGTTTGGGCTTCTTTCAATGAATAAGGACCAATGTTCCCTCTAAGCTATGGAGTCTTGTGAGCAAAAATTCTTCTTTGTGAGCTACTGGCCTTAAAGTTGTGAGCGAGTTATTTGGTTACTGCATCAATTAGTTTGCTCTGGAGCCATCCTTCCTGAGATAAGACAAAAATGTGTGAGCTGGAGGCTAAAAAACTGTAAGCTAGCTCACACTGACTCAGCTTAGAGGG